ATCAGTAATGGCACCTAAAGCCCTGAGGAATAGAAATGAGAGATCACTAAACAGAAACAAGACAAAAACACATTTATAATCCCATCAAAGCTCCTCTTGTCAGCTACATATCAATTCATTTCTTCTGGAGCGAAACCGACAGAACACTTGAAACCTTTGAAGTCTGTTAAGAGTGAAAAATAATGTAATGATAGAAGAAAGACTGATTAGATCCTATTCCTTTTAGGACATTACATATGTAACACTCCTTGCATCATCATATTGCAATGGCTTCCAGAAATTATTTTATAATTATTTTACTAAGCTCTTAATGGTTTGGCACCCTCATATATAATACTTATTCTCTGTTTCTTTATGTCCCTGGTCGAGCCCTAAGGTCTCCTCAGCTGCTTTTGAACATTTCCTAAAGTCACCCAAAATAAAATGGGTGAAGCAGCTTTAATTCAGTACGCACTTACACGGTCAAATTCAGTGGACAGCTGAAAAATATATTTTTATTTTAGCTTTTTATTAGCAATACCTCCCTTTTGACAGGTCCTTTAATTATTCTTATAATTGTTTTTTTATAATGTTTTATTTAGTTATTTATTTTATAGTTTTTATATTTCTTTGTATTTATTCATTTTGTCTAATGTCCTCCTTTGTTTTACTGAGAAGGTTATACTTTGTTTTTGGGTTGTGTTTTTACGCTGCCTACAGTGAGTGTCTTGTTCTCTGTTTTAATTTGTGATGTGTGCCATGTTGTTAAAGCACTTTGAGCTGCACTAAGTGTACGAGAAATGGTACACAAATAAAGCATGATTATTATTATTATTTGTATCTATTTGTTAAAGTGCTCATTATCCTTTAGATGTGTATTGTGTAATATCATTATTTAGACCTGACATGTTCGTTAAACAAAGAGTACCTTCGATAACAACGATAGGGTAAGAATTAAAGGCATAAAGAACGTTTGTTTTCTGTTTCTTCAAACGCTGCTCCTGTACTGAGCCAAAAGTGACATGCTGCTCCAATTATGCAAATGCTATTAATAATAATAATAATAATAGATTTAATTTGTTAGCGCTTTTACAGGTGCTCAAAGACGCTTTACAGATATAGTGAGGAGAAAAGAAAAGGAAGGAACAACAAATAAATATATAGTTAAAGTTAAAGTCAAATAATACAAAAACAATCACACATTAAAAGCCAGATTGAAGAGGTGAGTTTTTGTGAGTTTTATTACATTACATTACATTACATTACATTGCATTACATTACATTGCATTTAGCTGACGCTTTTATCCAAAGCGACTTACAATAAGTGCGTTCGTCCAACAAAATACAACTTGAAGAAAATAGAATCATATAAGTACATCAGGTTTCATAGAGCAAAAACATTTCAAGTGCTACTCAACTGGCTTTAGAAAAGCCAGTCCTTTATTAGTATAAAAGTGCTTCGTTAATAGTTCTATCGCTCGAAGTGGAGTCGAAAGAGATGAGTTTTCAGTTTGCGCCGGAAGATGTGCAAGCTATCTGCCGTCCTGATGTCAATGGGGAGCTCATTCTACCATCCTGGAGCCAGGACAGCAAACCCACGTGTTTTCGCCGTTGGGAACTTGGGTCCCCCTCGCAGCGAGGGCGCAACGAGTCGTTTGGCTGATGCAGCGTAGTGCACGCGCTGGGGTGTACGGTTTAACCATGTCCTGGATGTACGAAGGGCCAGATCCATTCGCAGCATGGTAAGCAAGTACCAGTGTCTTGAAGTGGATTCTAGCAGTTACCGGAAGCCAGTGAAGGGAGCGGAGGAGCGGAGTGGTGTGGGAGAATTTAGGAAGGTTGAAGACCAAACGAGCCGCTGCATTCTGGATGAGCTGCAGAGGTCGGATGGCACATGCAGGTAGACCAGCCAGGAGGGAGTTGCAGTAGTCTAGGCGTGAGATGACGAGAGCCTGGACCAGAACCTGAGTCGCTTTCTGTGTCAGCTGGGGACGTATCTTCCTGATGTTGTAAAGCGTGTATCTGCAGCAACGGGTTGTAGCAGCGATGTTTGCAGTGAAGGACAGGTTGTTATCTAGGGTCACACCCAGATTCCTTGCAGTCTGAGTCGGGGAAACAACTGAGGTGCCGATGTTGATTGTTAGGTCAAGAGTGGGACAATCTTTTCCCGGAAGGAAGAGCAGCTCAGTCTTGTCAAGGTTGAGTTTGAGGTGATGAGCAGACATCCACTGAGAGATGTCAGCTAGACAAGCAGAGATGCGTGCGACAACCTGGGTCTCTGAGCGGGGAAAGGACAGAATTAATTGGGTGTCATCAGCGTAGCAGTGGTAAGAAAAACCATGCGGGCTAATGACTGATCCGAGCGAGTTTGTGTACAGGGAGAAGAGGAGGGGACCAAGAACAGAGCCCTGAGGGACCCCCGTAGTTAATTGACAAGGGTCGGACTCAGACCCTCTCCAAGTCACCCTGTAGGTACGGTCTTTCAGGTATGAGGTGATGAGGGAAAGTGCAGAGCCTGAAACTCCAAGTTTTTGGAGAGTGCGAAGGAGGATCTGATGATTCACCGTGTCGAATGCAGCAGACAGGTCCAAAAGGATGATGACAGAGGAGAGGGATGCAGTTTTGGCAGTGTGCAGTTCCTCCGTGACAGCAATGAGAGCAGTTTCTGTGGAGTGACCTGCCTTGAAACCAGACTGGTGCGGATCCAGAAGGTTGTTCTGATGGAGATAACAGGAGAGTTGTTTAAAGACAGCGCGTTCAAGTGATTTAGACAGGAACGGGAGGAGAGAGACAGGCCTGTAGTTTATAACATCAGACGGGTTGAGAGTGGGTTTCTTTAGGAGAGGGTTTACTCTTGCCTCCTTGAGACTGTTTGGAAAGTGACCAGAAGTTAGAGAAGTGTTGATGAAATGGGTGAGAAACGGTAGAATATCGTTTTACATTTTAATCCTGCTTAACCTTGGGTGTTGCAAGAGTGGAGCAACTCTTAGTATAGAAAAACAATGTTACTTAACCAACTAATTTAGTCAACCAACAGTACTTTTACAGCAAGTATTTTAAAAGTCCATTAATTCAACATTTTATTCAAAATGGGCATTTAGGGTTTCAGCTGCTGAGAATAAAGTTTTCTCTGTTTAATGATTGCAATATGAGGTTATTTGGACTAAGACTCTTGGTTTGACTAAAATAAGGCTTCGAATGGTGTCAACTCAAACACTAGGAAAAAATCATCAAGCTGAATAATTTCAATATTCGTCTTTCAAGATTCTTGAAAGTCTCTTCTCTTTCTGGCCCCATTAATCATCGTATTGTAAGTCTGGGCAGCCGATCGATACATTTGAGGCGAGAAGCCTGGGGCTGTTATTCACAAAGATTCAGAGAATAGTTTCAGAGAGCTCTAAGACCCCATTTACACGGGAGCGCAAACGCATACGGACCGAATTCGCTAACAAAAAAGTATTCCGTTCACACGCGTTCAGCTCATTTAACGTCTCCGTTCACACGAGACCACTGGAAATGCTGTAGTACATATGCCGGGCCTGTATGTGGCGCTGTACTTCCACACGAGACCGCTCGTAAGCACTGGATACGCTGTAGTACATATGCCGGGCCTGTAAGTGGCGCTGTACTTCAGATTTTGCACTAACATCTGTAGCATGGTCAGTAGCAGTAGCACTAGCAGTAGCTACTGACAGTAGCTACAGACCATGCTACAGCAGTGAGCAGCAGAGGTGGGACTATGGCTTCATCGTTATCAGGAAATGATCGTATAGGGCATACACACTGAGACGCTTGGCCCCCCAGAGCGTTCCCTTTGCAGATCTATCCACCTTGGGACCCGTTATCGTTTGCGGGATCCGTTTCCGCAGTTCCGTTACGGCTTTGTGTGAACGAACGGGCTATACGCGAGAGAAAAGTAGCAGATACAACCCGTTTCGTTCTCGTGTAAACACCGCCTAAGCCCACAAAAAGTATTGTGTAAATATGTTGGTTGGCACGTAAATCTTTTCATTACATTTAACCATTTAAATGTTTCCAATTGCAAAATATATTAGGTTTTTGATCATTTCCTTTTAATGCGTTCTCTAATGGGATCGATCACAAACATTAAAACGTTAGACTCCTTACATAGAATTGAATCTGCAGCGTCTCGTTAGCTCACAGTCATAGAGTGTTTGGACAATATTTCTCTTGCCTCCTTGTCTTTGGCCATAATCTCCTCTGCTGAAGAAACACTTAAGCCTCTTAGAATCTCTCCTCCCTACCCCTGAGAGTTTTTCACCATGGGATGTCTCGTAAGAGTCTCTTTGTGAATCTTTTATCCATAGCAGGATCTAGACCTAACAATAACACAACATTCCTAGAAAATATCATTTTTCTAAGATTTTTCTCCCAAATGCGTCACTTGGGCACTTAAAAATTGTATGTGATATGATCAATAGAACTCGCACAGGCTTCATCAGAAGAAGTATCTTCTTAGTTGAGAGAGCTGCTTAACAAGAGAAGTGAACATATGACATCGTGTATTAAAACGTTGGACAATCAGACTACTGACTAATATCAGATTTTCCAGAATCACAGCAGCAGTTTAATGCAGAAGTGTTTTTGCTGTCTTATATCCTCCTGACGGGAAGCACTGTGTTGTGCAGTTCAAATTGTTTCAACTTTGACCTCCAGTCCTTACCACTAACATTTTGATGCACAACCAAACAGATAACAGCTGTATGTAGCCAGCTGGCACGGGAGGTAACAATAGAAACAAAACATAAAGCTGTTTTTGCTCTTCGCCCTCGCAGTGAGCAAAGAGCAAATTGCGTTTCATTTGAATGTTGCCATGTCATTTTACTGGCCTGAAAATCTGATTCCAATCATATCAATTCAACACAAAAAGATAAGTAAAAGTGATGGGAAAATAATGAGAAAAATAGGCTTACCTGCTTCTTTCACAGGGCTCATTTTCAAGCAAAGAGGATATTACAAAATGGAAGTACAAGCAGTAACAGAGAAGGAGTTATAATTACCAGAACCACCACAGGGTCGTGAAGAGGTCCGTCAGTGTGCAGAGTCTCCACCTCGTCCTCAATGATGTAGTGCCACTCCACGCCCAAGTCAATGAAGCTTCTGGACTTGACTTCCTCTCCTTTCCCGTTGAGGATGTAATGTCCCGTTGCCTGGTTCTTGATTGCTGCAATCATTCATTTGGTTATGACCCGGTGACAAAGAAACCTGGCACTTGCTTGGAATGATTATGGCTGAAAGTTATAATGGGTTACTCATGCAGTACATTTATGGAGAACAAGCGCTTGAACTTCTTATATAATACAACTTCTACGACCTGAGGCTGAAATGAGAATTGGCATGTAACCTGTTAACTGCTTTAAATATATCTGATGTAAATCAGTTGCAATTACAAGATGTCAAAACAACCCGACTTGTGTCTGCTAAAGATCCTTCCCTCCTGCTCCAGTGCAGATTATAACAGATTAGTCCATCGATTGAAAAAAACAACAACAATGCTTCAACTTCACATCAACTTTCACATAAATGCAGAGTTGACAGCAGGAAATAAGAAGCCACTAGTTCTTGAAATCAAAGCAAGTAAGAAATATCTTCAAATTGATCCATCAGCACATGTCATTTCAAAGTGAATGACAGTGACAGGAAAGATGGATGCGATAGAGAAACTACAGAAAAGGAATAATTGTAATGCTGTCAGCTAAATATTTCATTAAGAGTTAGATGTTCACCCTAGATGAAATCTTAACAAACACATTTAATTTTGTCACTTTTTTCTTCTATTCTGCTACAGCAACCACATCTCACGGAGTTCAGAGTCGATGTATGGGGACAAAACATTGGATTTCCTAATTATATATAGAATGTCAACTTTAGGGTGACTGTATCTGCGAAGGAGTGCGGTCGTCTTTCAACAAGAGGGTTGCGGGTTCGATCCCAGCCGTTGCAGTCAATAATGTCTATGTAACCTTGCGCAATATACTTCACCCTGAGTTGCTACCGCCTACAGCTGTGTAACAACATGCGTTCAGTGCTCTTTGCAAGAACGTTAATGGTGAGTGATGAGGAAGAATCAAATATGAAGCTGTGCCCTGGACAGCTCCCTCAATCAGCCTTGTTCTACACATTTGAATTGGTACATTTAAAATCATTATCTTCGGTAAAGCAGATTAATAATAATAACAATAATAATGCAAACAAATGATAATTATTGCAGATTATAGATTATAAATAAATCATTTAGGGACAAGGGGGTGAGATTAAATAAATTATACTTCTTCTCACTCCTTTTTGAACACTAGATGTGGCACTGTTTATGTTGCTAATGCTGTTGTTGTTGAATTTCTCTTACATGACTATGCACTGCAACATTTGTTTTGTTTTGTAATTATTTATTTTACTTGTTCGAAATAAATGTATCAATCAATCAATCAATTATCTTTGTATTTGCTGTGAATGACCTGTGGGTGTGTTTCCAAGGATCCTCACTCGCCTGCCTTTGTTCCTGCTTGTCTCCTTCCTACCTGCCATCCTCCAACCATGCCCCTTTCTTCCCTGCTGCCTCTAGATTCCCATTCCCCCTCATCCCCTGTTCCAGATCCCCCTCTAGAATAATAGTAATACTTTCTTACCACCACGACCCATTTAAAAGACGACTCAGTGATTAATGTGTTGTGATGACAGAGGCCATTTCCTCTGGCACAGTCCAGCTCTCTCCTGAAGCACACAGCCGATATTGCTTCTACAGGAGCAGCTGACCACTCTCTGGGCCTTTCAGCTTCATGATAACAAAGGAGAATGCTCCATCAAAGGCCATTAAAGCTAGCGCCAGAAAGTGTGTGAACTGTTATTGTTGTACTTTTTAAGGATTATAGATAAAGGGAGTTTTTGTTGGGTAGTTGAGTGGAGGAGTTCCACATCTGTGGGCCTTATAGCAGCTGATGTAGTGATGGTAACAATGTAGGAAGTGAATCATGTTGTTATTGGGCAACAAAATCAAGGCTGTTTAAAATTGCATATCAACGTACTGCTTACTTAAAGGTGGGGTAGGTACGTTTCAGAAACCGGCTCGAGATACACTTTGTGTTATATTCCATGGAATGCTCTTAACATCCCGATAGCAATGAATATCTTAAGTGCTTTGACAAAAAATCCATAAAAAAATGTCATCTGTGGAAGCTGTGGTACTGTAAAAAGTAACCTCTTTACACAACTATTGTCATGATTCTTGTGTTATGTCACGTTTTAGTTTTGTATGTCTTGTTATGGGTGTGTTTCTGTTCTCTCTGTCATGTTTTCCTCCTTGTGTATTGTCTGGTCCCTCTCCCTGGGTTTTTCCTCCCTGTCGTTAGTTTCCCTGGTGTGTCTAATTGTTTGATTGTGTTCACCTGTGGCCCTTGTGTTTCTCCTCCCCTGCCCGGCTGTTTCTCGTCTGGTGATTACCCCTCCCTGTATTTAGTCTGGTCTCTTCCTGTGTTCAGTGTTGGTGCTTCTTTTGTTTGTGACCTAGTTCACCGTAGAGTGTTTTGTTTGTTTCCATGTGATATGTTCGATAAGAGCCCTTGAAATAAAGGTATTATCAGTATTATCTGCGTTTGGGTCCTACCTGCTTCACTCCGCGTATCAACTATTGGAACAAGTGAATGAGGCTGGAGGTTTTTTTAATAGAACTAAATAAGGTGGGGTTTAAAAGCTTCTATTAACACTAGATTGCAATTTAAAGCGGAAATAGACCCAATTTAGTTTTTAAGTTATTACTTTGAAGTAAATGTTTCTGGCACAATGTAATTACCTATTTACCACACTTTCACTATGCAATTTGTATGTCTAGCAGCAAGATATCGATTTCTTCGAACAGCATTGGGAATTAATTGGTAAATAATGTATCTGTATATATTACTAGCTTTCTCACTGATCGTCTGAATAAAGGCAGCACCAACACTAATAACACTTGGAACTACAGGGGGAAAGTTGTCCTAATTGCTACTTAAAGGATGAGGTTCAAACTTGGTTTGTACAGAATTTAAGCTTCTATGCGTATTTGAAAAACACAAGTTAGCAACAGCGTTTCAGTTGTAACAGCTGAGCAGTTTTTGAAAGTAGTTTGCTTCCTCTCAGTTGCTTAAAGAGGCCCTATTATGCAAATGTGTACAATTAATAATTGCATTTTGTGCATCTACCGTCACATGTTTATATGCTACAATGTTCAAAAACTGCTTTAGTTTTTAGAGAGCCCAGAGCCAAGTCTGCTCTGATTGGAAAGCTGGCCGGCTCTGTTGTGATTGGTCAGCCGCTTAGAGATGTCCCTCCCCTTAGCTTATCCCGTTCAATATGTTGGAGCGCTAGTAGCGCTAGCCAATGGAAGCGCAAGTGTTAGGTAATGATGTCACTTTATTATGGAAGTAAACAAAGGACAACAATCAAGGTGTTCATCCTGTTGGACCTGTCTGCTGCATTCGACACAGTGAATCATCAGATCCTCCTTCGCACTCTCCAAAAACTTGGAGTTTCAGGCTCTGCACTTTCCCTCCTCATCTCATACCTCAAAGACCGCACCTACAGGGTTACCTGGAGAGGGTCGGAGTCCGACCCTTGTCAATTAACTACAGGGGTCCCTCAAGGCTCTTGTTCTTGGTCCCCTCCTCTTCTCCTTGTACACAAACTCGCTCGGATTAGTCATTAGCCCGCATGGTTTTTCTTACCACTGCTACGCTGACGACACCCAATTAATTCTGTCCTTTCCCCGCTTAAGCATTTGCACACTATTTACAAATAAAAATAAAATGTTGTTACTGTCTTAAAACCATCCTCGTCATTATATAGAAACAACAATCAGTGTCTTTCTAGTACAGTACATACATTATACCAGGCCACCCTACTTACTTGATTGTCAGTGATTGGGTCCGATTGGTCATTAAGCTGGCAAAGATAGCTCTGCCTGTCAAAGTTTTCAAAGAACCCACTGACACACGCGAGGAACATTACGGGCATGACCAATTACTCTAAGCTACTGACTCATTCATTTTCATCCTTATCAGGGGGGGCCAAGACCTTGACTACGGCTTTGAGACGCTTCATACTGAAGGAGGACCGAGCCCCGTTCAACTCACTTGCAACGCAGAGTGGGCTTCGCACGTGTGGAGGCTACTGCTAACTGTCATCGCCGGTGCCGACCTCTGCAAGGCCAGTAGTCCGGGCCCCGTCTATCCAGGACGGGCTTCCATCGGCGGATCGGGTAGGCCATGCTTACCTGCTGAGTGGAACTTCCCCCGCTCTCCCCCTCTGACTATTACGATGCCCTTTGCCAGTATTCTTCTTCTAACTCTTCTAGTCTCCCGACTATAACGAAATTTAAGCAGAAGTGCTTAATCATGTTGCTTCTACTTCTGTCTGGTATTCAGCCTAATCCTGGTCCTTTAATGGTATGTAATACCCCGGCGGACTTTAAGAACTTGTCTGGGTTACACATCATCCATGTAAATGCTCGCAGCTTGCTTCCCAAAATGGATATGTTGCGAATTTGGTCAGAGTCAACTGGAGCTGATCTAATTATTGTTTCTGAGACTTGGCTTTCAAATAAAATATTGGATAAAGATGTCGGAATTGACGGCTTCAATATTTATCGTTCGTACCGCCCCAGGAAAGGTGGTGGCGTGGCGATTTACGTGAAACATAATCTTGCTGCACAGGTCATCTTCTCCAAATCTGCTGTTAAATCTTAGCACTAAAGATTGATTTATCTGGTGGTCAGTTTTTAACTTGTTGGTTGCTATAGGCCCCCTTCTGCTACAAACGACACATTATCCTCGCTAATGCAGCTTTTATCTCAACTACAGTTTAAGGAAATCATCCTGGTAGGTGATTTTAACTGGGACTGGCTTTCACCAGTGTCTGATGATTTTAAAGCTCTTTGTATGTCTCTAAATTTTACACAAGTCATTGAAAGTGCCACTTGTCTTAACACCAGGTGTCTAAAAAAAATCCTCTCTTATCGATCTTTTAATTACTAATAAACCCCATAAATATACTGCAACCGGGGTCTTTGCTAATGACCTGAGTGATCATTGTTTAGTTGGTGCTATTAGGGATACCAAAATCCCCCGTACTAAGCCCTGTGTTGTACGGGGGATTTTAAATGGGATCGTATTTTATTGATTGGTGATAAACATG